AAAAAAAATGTCCCACTGATATTTTCTCGCCATGGACATAGCAACCCTCCTCATGTGGCTGCTCGCAGCCGCCGCCGCCGTCACCCTCGCCGCCCTTTTGATTCCCGGCGCAAGAAACCACAAGCACGCCACCAAAAGCCTCTCGCCCCCAGAAGCCGACGGCGGATGGCCCGTAATCGGCCATCTGCGCCTCCTATCGGGGCCCGAGCTTCCCCACATCGTCCTCTCGGCCATGACGGACAAGTACGGACCGGTCTTCTCCATTCGTCTCGGCGTCTACCGGGCCCTGATCGTCAGCAGCTGGGAGGCCGCCAAAGAGTGCTTCACCGCAAACGACGTCGTTTTCTCCAACCGCCCCAGGACAGCCGCCATCGAGCACATGGGCTACAACTTCGCCATGTTCGGATTCAGCCAATACGGACCCTATTGGCGCGAGATGCGGAAGATCTCCGCCGTCAGCCTTCTCTCCGGCGTTAAAGTTTCCACCTTTGGACCCCTATTCGAGACGGAGATAGCGAGGATGGTCAGAAAACTGCGAGGACAACAAGGGTGTCTTGAAATGAAGCAGATTCTAGGGGACGTGACCATCGGCCTCATGCTGAGGATTATATTCAACAGTAACAGGGATGATGATGAGAAGATTGATGGAGCAAAAGGGGAGAAGCTGAGAGAAGGGATTAGAGGGTTTTTTCGGAAAATGAACGAGGTCACAGTAGCTGATGTGCTCCCGTCCCTCAAGTGGCTGGATCGGTTTAGTGGAACCACCGAGTCGTTTAAGAAGACGGGGCACGACATGGATTGTTTGCTGCAAGCTTGGTTGGATAGCCAGAAGAGGCGTGGGACGATTGACGATAGTTTCATGGCCGAGATGATGGCTGTTGCGGATGAGGTGGCGCGGCAGTTCCCGGAGTACGATGCCGATACAATAACTAAAGCTACTTGTCAGGTACATTTTGCTTAGAGTTATCAGTTATGTGTTGTCAAGAGAATAAGTATAGTGTTGGGTTTGTGTTATCAGGAGAATAAATATAGTGTGATTTTGTGGTTTTCTTGTTTGTTGTCATTGCTAGTGATACGTGTTAACGAGAGAATAAGTAGAGTGTGATTTTGTGGTTTTCATGTTTGTTGTCATTGCCAGTGATTTGTGTTAACGGGAGAATTAGTGTGATTTTGTGGTTTTCTTGTTTGTTGTCATTGCTAGAGTTATGCGTTAACAAGAGAATTAGTATAGTAAGATTTTGTGATATTTGTGTTTGTTGTCGTTTGGTTGGTTGGTGTGGTGAGACGGGGAAAAGAGTGTCCTGTTTTGGGTCATGGATGCTAAAAGCTAGTTCGTCGTAATTTGTTTTTGTGTCGTGCAGAGATTCTATTCCCGTTCATACATTGAATAACGTTACATAATCGATGTTTGGGATAAAGTGTGGTTTAAACTCTCAAACGAAACTAATTTTGGCTTAAAACTAATGGTATTTCGCAATAGAAATGTGAATTAAAAAAAACAAAATCGTCTTTCGCAGGCAATGTTGTTAGGAGGAACAGATACGATGACAGCGACCCTCACGTGGGCCCTCTCTCTACTTCTCAACAACCGCCACACCATTCGTGAAGCCCAACAAGAACTCGACCTTCACGTGGGCCCACAAAGACCCGTAAAATCATCAGACACCGAAAACCTCTCTTACATCCGAGCCGTAATCAAAGAAACCCTACGCCTCTACCCGCCAGCCGCGCTTCTCCCGCCACGCGAGTCAGCAGAGGACTGCCAGGTGGCAGGCTACCGCATCCCAGCTGGCACGCGACTCATCATCAACGCGTGGAAACTCCACCGGGACCCTCGTGTTTGGGCCGACCCACTTGAGTTCAGGCCCAATAGGTTCCTCTCGGGGGCCCACAGAGAGACTGATGTTCGAGGACAGCACTTTGAGCTGCTCCCTTTTGGGGGTGGCCGGAGGATTTGCCCCGGGATTGGTTTTTCGATTCAGTTTATGGTGCTTACGCTTGCGGGTTTATTGCATGCTTTTGATGTTGAAACGGAGTTGGGTGAGGGTGTTGATATGAAGGGGAGTTTGGGTTCGACGAATGTGAAAGATGGTCCGCTTGAAGTCGTGCTCCGGCCAAGATTGTCGCCGGACGTTTATGATTGATTCTGTGTTTAATGTAATGTATTATGAAATAATTGGGGAAGAGTGTGTATATTGTTGTGTGATTGTGTCATGTAAAACTAGTGTCATGTATATTATTGAGTACAAAAGTAGTGTATGAGTGTGTTTGGTAAATGGGTTTGACTATAAATCCATCAGTTAGATGAAACTATGAAAGGAAGAAAGCAATTGAATATAGGTTTTTTGTCGGTTTGTTGAATATAGTACCATATTTTTCTCATCAATTTCGTCAACAAAATTAAATATTAATATATTTTTTCAGTAAAATTCCCAAATCGTTCCATCCATTTATGTTATTTACGTGATTCCATGTTATTTATTATGTGATGCCTCAACTCGTTTAGGTTCATTTCTTCAATAGTTGGTGATTTGAAATGATAGATAGTACAAAAATTTGTAAAGCTTCTACCCATAAAATGTTAAAAGTATAAGTTTAAAATAGTGAATAGTGTAAAAAATTAACCCGGATTGAATTCATGAAGTGCCCAAAAAAAAAGGTAAAATACAATATATCTGATTCATGTTAGACTCAACAAAAAGCTCATTAATGTTCTACTCGGTTAATGATTTGATCAATAATCAAAATCATGGGGCATTCATTCGAAATGATAGCAAATCAAATATTATTTTGAAGCATAAAACCATATATATAGACCAAAAGATAAGCAACCATCCATCTTTCAATCTCATAGCTGAACTCCTAAAACAAGTTAATAATAGGTTCCATTAGTTAGTTGAAACTAATGGTTAGCTTCATCATCACGCCATAACTGCCCATGCTCCATTCTAANCGTATGAGTTTAGCAATCATAAGCTAAATTAGAAGTTTTTACATTTAAATAAGTCTAGTTTGATAGGATTATTTAAAAAAAATAAAACTTATCACTTGACTTTTTCATGTAGATTTACCAACATACTTCATAGTGAGTTAATTTCAAACTTATAGCTAATAACTAGTAATTGGTGATAGGAAACTAACTAATATTATAAAAGCTTTCGGTAAAAATAGCTGATAAGTCCATTGAGATAAAAACTTCAAGTGGCCTTTTAAAAGAACTACGAGATAAGCTCGAGTATTTTAAAAAATTTCATCATATCAAATCAAACTTGTTCAAATACAATAAATTTATAAGCTAATTAAATAAACTATAAACTAGCTTTTACTGCTTACCAAACACATTCTAAACCACTAGAATAGGTAACCTTAATTCTAACATGATTAGAGACAGGAATTAGAAAGAAAAATTTCCTCCATATACATAGTGTGTTTGTGCCAAACAACACAGCATCTGAAATTTCCTTCCTCCATAAAGATGATTAAAAACCCACACGAATTCACAATTTCTTTTTTTCTAAACTCAGATTTCAGAAAATATCAATTTACAAAAACACACCAAATTTCCATCATCAACAAGCCAAAAACAAGAAAGGAGAAGTTAAAGGTGGCGAGATTCACCATCAAACCGGGACAGGCATTAGTCATCTAGAATTTAAACGCTTGGTGTATCGATTCTAAAAATCTAACAGCTATTCTACCCACTGTCTCGTTCTGTATAATTCACGGCAGGACGAAAAGGGTACTTTTGAGTCCTGTAAAAACTGAAAAGAAGCAAAATGTAATCTACTTAATGAAGTCCCGAGACCTGTTTAGCGCCTAGATCCATATATGAAGCTCATTCACACTCTTTTTCTACAACTTGATCATCCTTTCGAATGCAATGAGTTCCTTCTATTGGCACAGTGGAGGGAATTCAGCTTCATTCTTCAGGCGAATTGACTGCCCTGCAACCCTGGGAGCCCAAACCAAATCAAAACTTTAGATATAATATATAACCTCAGACTTAAAAGTTCAGGATGATTAATTACAAATAGCAACTTGCAAAAAGAACTCGCTTATCTTTATAAATTTTCAAATACCGCCACATTAAAATATACATCATGCTCAAATTTGTCCCTTTTGAGGGGGCATTAAGGATGTTTCTCGTACCTTTGTCGAATCAAAACTGCCGATGAACCCTGCGAGGCACTAATGTGAGCTGAATGTGAAATCACCTCTTCGCCTAAGTTACCAATAGACCCAAATTTGATTCTGCTCAACGCACTCAAACAGCCATTTTCAACAGAATAATTATTAGACTGGGAGGACCTCACGACATCTGATTTCTTCTTACGTCCATAATATCTTTTCCGTACGGGCAAAACTTCATAACCACCATTTTTCTCAAAAGACTTCGTCGTGCCAGCTGGATAATATATGCCATTAGCATGACCCTCCAGATGGAAATTATTCTCGTTGTCCGGCGCCTTATTCTTGCCCCTCCCATATGAAGACTTCGCCATGCGCACAACATTCTGCATCGAGTAAAAGAAAATATCACGAACCCAAATTATGTAACATAACAATCAAAAAAAAAAGAAAAAGAAAATAGAGAGTACCATATGTGGAAAGTAGGTTCCAATTCCTCGTGCTTTCTGTTTGCCATCATAATCGAAGGTACTGCCCGAAAATTCAGAATCGGTTGATACTGTGTGGGAACTCGTCCGAGATAATATATTATCATTACTACAATTATTCGTTATAAGAGGTGTCGAATGACGATCGACATCCCGTGGCTTTCGATTCTGGATTATGGGAGAAGACGAGCAGTTGCTCTTGGCACTCGAGGATAAAGAAAACCCGTGGCATAATTGACCACGTAACAAACTTCTAATATTGCCGTCATAATCTCCACTTAAATCGGCCAGGGGATTGAAGGCCTCTGAGTCCCCTTCAATGCTTGCAGTGTCGTTTTCTATAAAATACATATCTTTCAAGCAGGCAGCCTCACAATTGTCAACACACCATCGACAAGTACTTTTGTTGTCCATCCACGAAATGGTCCCAAACTTGTCCGAGTCAGTAGATGGTAAATCAGATTGTTGTTGCTCTGAGCTTCCGTTTTCGGTCGAGCATTTGGAATGAGGATTGTGGAAATAGTTATCAGAAAGAGACGCACTGTAATTGCTGCTCGAGTTGGATGTAGCAAAGTCATATTTGGGACCCAAGACACGATATCTCGAAACAAAAACGCTGTCTGCAGAATAACAAGCCTCAGATACCATCTCGGGAGAAACTTCACCTACTGAGTGTGTGTCTGCCATTTCATTCCTCAAATTATCAAAATCCAAGGCAAATGAATTTAGAAACATGTCGTCGTCCTCAGAGAATGACTCGACTTGGGATGGTAAAGACTCGGTGAAAGACTCTTCATCACCAAAATTAAAGACCAAATGCCTAGTGATACTTTTATACTGGCGTTCATGCCTGGAGCGGGTGTTAGTGAAAAATTTGTAGATCTCATCAGCAACTTTATCTCTTGGTTGTAAAAGAACTTGACCGAGCTTGTGTGCCCCAAACTTGAATGCGCTCTGTATACGGTAGAAATTACCTAGTAACAGAGAAAAGGCATGTAAGGACTATTAAACTGAGTAGAAAAATTATTAAGCTCCTATACTAGTACAAAGTACAAATGCCGTATGATCTATAAACAATTTCACATGCAATGGTGTTTCCCCTGAAGAAATTTGTAGAGATGGTAAAAAAGACAACATTATAGAACATTCTATTATCGCCAATCTAGGATCTTCCGCAGTTAGTCAGTAAACTGATGCAGGTTCTGAAATATCTCTCTAAAGCATTTACGTTATATCTCGTTGAGTTGAAAGAAAGCACAAAAGTTTGATAAAACTTGAATTAACTCATTTCATAAGGCATTTAACAACTTCAAACCAAAAATAATAGGTAACTGCAAATATTTTACTGCAAAATTCATTTCATATTAAGCCAAAAAGAAATAACTGTTACACTAGTGACATGATTGGAGAAGTTACCAGACAAAAGAGCCAATTCAAACAATAGACGCATAAAAAAGTGCTTTTGTTGTCTCACTCAGTGCACCAATGTAATTCAACTCAGTAATTCATCAAACCACAGCGCTTAATGTCATTCGAACAGGAAGAATCATCAATAATTTTCCTCACCTCTGTGAACACTGCGCCCAAGGTTATTATTTCCCTTGAGTGGATCAATTATATTAAGATGTTTTGGCTGAAATGCTCGTGAGTTTGCCTTGAGCCCGCTTGAAGGAACTGAGAACAATTCCAAACAATTCTCCATAAATTCTTCACTAAGCAAAAGATGATTCCTCCCACTTTCAGGCATCTTGACTGCAAGAAAATCAGAGAATGAGGAGTCGTTAGGCAAACAGAAGAACTTTTACCAGCAATTAAACATGTCCGAAGAGGAGCAAAGAAAATTTGGGTGTGATACTAAAGTCAAAGAATCATGATGTTGTTAAAGAAAACTGCTCACCAACAATATCAGGTAGGGACGATTTACAAACTGGACCTTTCAAACTGATGCAATAATTATCCCAATCAAATTGGCTATAGTAATCCAAAAATTTGTAGAGTGCCTACGCAGGAAAAACAATAATATACAAATAAATATATTCATTTTCATTCTACTTACGGTTGCCAATATAATTAAGTTAGAAGTACTTACATATAAAGGGCCACATATTGATGAATGGAAATGATGGAATATGTACAGAACAAGTATCTCCAAAGCATATGTAGAAATTAAACCATGGTGAGCACCAAGTATACGACTCTCATAATAGCACCAAGTCTTAATTAGGATAATGCTTCGTTTAAAGAGATGATCTCTCCCAATAAGGCGATCTACCTGAATTGGAAAACAAAATCGATGAGAAAACCACAAGAGCACCCACAAGCATGGTATTAATTTTCACAAGAGACAGTAAAGCTTGGGTGTGCAGCAATTATCATAATAGACAGCAATCTCAGCAGAAACTACCAGAAATTTACTTAAAAAGACGGAAGCATGCAACCTTATCAAATACTGTTTTCTTATTTTATTTTACTTTGTTTTCAATTTTTTTATCCATTCTGAAACATCCAGTTCTCCATGTATTAAGCAGAGAATGAGCAGAAAAATGATGAAAAAAACAGTGAAATAAACCTTCTGCCTGCCAAGATTTCCCAAAGAGCTGTTTGTTGAAAAATAAAAAATTAAAGATAAAAAAAGAGGAATGCACTTGCAGTCACGTGTATAGCAATTTAGCAAAGCATCAAACCAGCCTCCAATAAAACCCTGCAGTACTAGCTTCCGGAAAGCAGAAGTTGAATTGCTACCTGCTCGAGGAAACACAGTGTAGAAAGTCCGCCTAACTGATTGAAGGATATATCAATAACAAAGTTCCTCACAAAGCATTTCACAAGTTTAACCTGCCATCAAAAGCAAGACTTGAATAATGAGTTCAAAACCTCACCAGACATCACAAATATCGAAAGACAAGTACACTGAGTCATTCACCAAACAACTATTTAGACCACCACGCTTTTAGCAGTTTCGTCACAATGACCTCTAAACAAGCAAACAGTACTTCAAATGGGACGCACCCTTCAATTTGGGACCACAACCACAACTAGCGTCACATTTAATAGTTTCAAAAATAAAAAGAAAAAACATTGAAATAAATGAACATAAATAAAAAGCTTCTGCATTACCTATTTTGAGCTATAGAGCCATATAAAGTTATAAACATCTCAAAGTGCCCACATCTTATACAAGCTGTGATATTTTGGTAACTATACAACTTCTACAAGTGTACATAGGATCTAAACTCAAGATGATAGGATGGTGCAGTTGCAACAAACAGCAAATTGAGCGTACATAAAGCAATGACAATCTGTATGCGGACTACCTCAGCATCAATAAATTGTGTTTCCTTTACTTGGTATTCTGCATTTTCATTCCGCTCTTCATCCTGTAAAAGAGCTAGCACATCGTGGGCCAAAGATTCAACAGCATTCGGGCCTTTGAGGACAGTCAAATCAATATCACCGTCAGGTAGGTATGTCTTGAGTGGAACTGAACCATAGGAAACTACCTGATATGAACAACAAGCTGTCAGCCTTATACAACTGAACACATAAAAAACTACAAGATGGCATGTTCATTCACAAGTGTTAATATACTCATAACTGACAAATTCTTCACTAGCTTCATGGTCCATTTCGTAAAACAAGGATGCTAGTTTCAGTAAAATGAACCGAGAAACATCCTTTTGGAGACAAAAGATGGTGATACTGATTCTTGCGAGAAGTATTTTCCTTATTTAATTACTTTGGAACAACTATAAGAAAGTAGGAAAGTACAGCACCTACACGAAATCACCGTCATCATATCAGGTAATAAAATATCAAGAGATCAACTCCAAGAACCTCACACAAAAATACGTCAATAACATAAATTGGAAAATTAAGAAAGATAGAGAAAAATGGTGATATCTCATCTCAACGTGTTCTGATGGTTGTTTGCTCCCTTCTTCAGAATTAGTATTTCTAATTTTTCATTATTTCTTCTTCTGCTGGAAAAACCAGAGACGACAGGCTACCAATATTCCCCTTGCACAAAAATTTGTCAGTCGCATAAAGACACTCCCACTACGACATACTTTCAACTGCACCTATATTAATGTTAAAGTTTAAAGTTTGCACCATAAATTTACCCACAGCCCAAAGATGCACCCACTTTAAGGCCCCATTTTCTCTGCAATCTGGATATTGTCATATCCAAACATACTGATTTTGCCCTGGCACTTTACAATTTTTGCAATGCTCACGGCCTTTCGAATATGGCAAAGCAGAGCACCCAATCCAGATATAACTCGACCCGATACTATGGAATCTAAGAATTCGTACGAGTTTCACTTTTCCGCAACGCAGTATCTAAATATTAAAGTGTCAAAATCATTAAAAAAGAACGACAACCAAACTACCGAAATGATTCCTCAATTATGTACATATCAACTATTATTTAACAGAGTATATTCCCAAAAGCTGGTGACACCAATATACAAATGGTAGCTTCATGCATCACAACAAACACCAAAGAATAATTTATTAGAATAGTATCCACCATCACGTTGGCATACGCACAAATGAGCCTATTCGATGAGAAAGTGTTACAAGTACAAGCTTAAAAGAACTGGAACTCCACCACCTTCCACTGGCATGCACACACACATACAAACGCGCACGCCGGCACAAAATAATCAGCTAAGAATATAATTAATAATCTAAAATTAAAAATTAATAAATTAATTACCTCGCAATTAAGACGGTTTTGGACGAGTTGCTGAACGTAATCAACGACGTCTCGTCGTTTCTCCTCAGAGTCAAGCGTGGGATGCACGCAGTTCAACACTTGTTCCGCCGCTTCCTCCGCCGCTGTCAAACACTCCGCCTTAATAGAACCCAGATCAGGCGGCGGACGAGATCTCCACCCGGACCCGAAACCCTCGCGCGCCTCCTTCGACGGGTCGTTGCCTTTTGGATTCGCCACCCCGAGCTCCCCCATCTTCGCCGTCATTTACACAAAAAATAAATAAATAAATAAACGAAACAAAATTAAAGAAAAAACCATCAACTACAATAGAAACAACAATTCTCAGGGTCCCTTGTCATTCACCATTCAATTCTTCACTTTTCAGCTCTGGTTTCGGGCGGGGAAAAAACCTATTCCCATTGTTCTCCTTCACATGGAAAAACATAAAACCACAGAAGACGAGAGAGGGGTTTGCAATTGAAAGGTTTCTGAGCGTTTGTACGTATACGGGATGGATTAAGATGGGTTTTTTCAACAGAATTTCTCGAATTAAAGCCAAATAAATGGGACTGTAAATCAGGAAAAGAAGACGAAAAGGTGCAGCAATTTGTCTGTACCCATCTCCCTGCTTTTTTTCAGTTATTTGCAGAGAGATGACGAAAGAACAAAACAAACCCAGTTTTCATCTTCCTCCCTCAGTCCTCGACCCCCTCTCCTCTCCTCTCTCTCTCTCTCTCTTTACATATATATGCAGAGTGTATGTATAGGCCTGGATTTTTGCTTTATTTTTTTCCCTTTTTTTCTGGAAAATATCAAAAATCTACAAGAATGTCGCTGCAGAAAAGACGAGGACGCGACGAAAGCAAGGGGAAGTAAAATAGACGGCTAACTGCGTTTGAACAAAGAAGTGACGACGTCGTTTGCAGGGTTTATGGGCCTTACTGTGTCTTTTCGACTCGGTTACGTATTGTTGTAATTAATATTTGATGACTAGTACAATACCCGTATATTACACGGGTGTTGAATTAGAAAGTTTTTGTATAAAATATTAAATTTTTTATTTTTTTAAAAACTAAAATAATTTAATTTTATATAAAACTTTAATTTAGGTTTTAATTAAATTGCCAAATTTTATTTTTTTAATCATAATAATTAACCCACGTACATTAAATGAAAATGTCAACCCATGTTAAATTTTTTTACTTATATCATATAAAAATATCGATATTATTTACTATTACATAAGTACAAAAATATATATCTTAAATAAATAGAAATAATATGGTGATATGTATATGCATAAGTGTAGAATATGTTTATTTAATATTAAGCAAAATAAATTAATTTTTTTACTTAATTAAATGTTTAATACATCAAGTGTCGTATCAGTCGTGCTTCACAGTTTTTTAACTTTATATGTAATTTTAGAATTTATATCAATAATTATTTATTTTTATTACATTGACAACATATCAATTAGATTTGAAATAAATATCATTTTTAAAAGAATACATACCAATTTCTATTACTTTATAATATAATTTATTGTTTTATTTAATATAATTTAATTTAATTTGATAAATAAATTTAAATTTTATTTATAAGGATATATATTACTGTTTTGTATATATATATATATATAGTAAAATATAATCAGACTTCATAATATCAATTAAAATACAACACATTAATTAAATTTTTTTTTTCTTCACAAAATTAACCTTATTTAATGGATTTTATGGGAAATGATGGAGATGGGATAGGAAGAGACACCGTGTATTAGATGGAGGGTTAAAAATGAAAAAATATGAACAAAATATCTAAAACGACATTTATTATATCAATGATGAATTAAGCGAAAGTGACAAATAAAAAAAAAATATGAGGGAGTATATATTATTATATATTTTAGTATGACAAATGTTACTTGTGCGACTTATATGTGTTATATTATAATAAATTTTCTACCTTATAACATATAACTACATTAAACATAAATATATTAATTGATAAATAATTTTATTTCTAATTAATTTTAATAAATAATTTTATTATTATTATAAAGATAAATATAATTTATTTATTTTATATAGGCAATATGGATATCAAATCGAAGCTCATCAAAAGATAATTAATTTGATATATTATATATGTAAAACCGATAAGAAATAAAAAAAGTTATCAACTTTTAAAATATATTTGCAATTCAATGGTTATAATAGAAAATGATATTAAAATATAATTAATACAAATATTAATTTATATCCAAGCTTAACTCTAAAGCATTATTTTGATTGGCACATGTCTAAAGTGTATTGACACATGTCCAAAGTGTATTTATTGCAGGACACGTGTCAATACACTATTGATGAATAAGTGTGGATGACTCAACAAGTCGAGTCATCCGATGCCTCTATAGTAAAACTGATCAAGTAATATCTCAAGTAAAGTGCAATTAACTTGGTTGGATGTTTTGATTTTGTGAATTGATATTAGAGTTCAAATATATATATTTTTTAAATGGTAACAGAAAAAAAAATATTATAAATAAATATGTGACTTTTTTGCAAGAGCCATCTTCACATATCTTCATTCATTATATCATATATAATGTTAGACTTTTGATGGTATAATATTGACAAACAACTATCATTCAATGGAATGTTAATCTTTGTACAATGAGTATTAAAACAATAACATTTGGATTCTAATTATCATCTACAATGCATTTCATTCAAAATGTCATTTATTGGGTGAATTCTCTCAAATATGTTAATAGCGAATAATCGAAATCTGGTCTCGAATAATTTTTCAGAAGTTATAAAATAGGCACTAAATTATCGACAGTATATTTGTCCACAATAAAATAGTTCATGTCAATATTCATTTGGGCAATATTTATTTTTTCTTTTACTTTCTACTGATGACTTTTAATTATTTTAAAAATATATATCTATATATCTATATATATATGTAATTGTGGGAAAAGCATTTAATAAAAATATTTCTGGTTTCCTTCCATTTTTGTTTACAAAATTTTATTATTAATATTTTTTTACTTTTCACATCAATGCCCTCTATTAAGTGTAATCAAATGCTTTTTACTATTATATATTTATATTATATAATTGTTAATGCTAATACTAACTAATAACAATCCACATTAAATAGAAATTACATAAATATAAACGATTCTATTGCAAAAAAAATTCTTCAAGTTGTTTATTTTAAAATCAATTTTTTTTATGTATCTCATGAAACAATTTTGTTAAAAAAAAGAAATAGTTGCATTGTTTTAATAACATAGTCAAACCACTATAAAATACTATAAATAATTGTTGCTATAATGATGATAGCATAGTCAAACCACTATAAAATATTATAAACAATTGTTGCTATAACGATGATGACAATGACGATGATGATGATAATTTTTTGAGTGTTGCTAAATACCGCACCCCTTTTTACTAAATACCGCACCCAAAAAAGACAATTTTGCCCTTTTTAATTTTTAATTTTCTTTTTTTTTTCTACTGGCCGGCAGCTAATTGCGGCCGCAACTCGCGCGGCCGGCCGTTGATTGCGGCCAGTGGTGGCTCGGCCGCATTGCGGCCGCAACTCGCGCGGCCGCACCGTAATTGCGGCCGGCCCATTTTTTTTTTTTTAATAATTTAAATATTTTAAAAACTATATAATTTTTAATATTATCAAATATCAAAGAAACTAATTAATAATTATTAAAGCAAGTTGCTACAATATTTATAGCCATTCCTTGCCTTTCATTGGACTTTCTCATCCAATGTGGGATAATTGTAAATCAAAGTTTTCAATCTCCCAACCTTTTATAGCCACTTTTGGCCTTTATTATTGTGTTTGTAATCGATGTGGGATTGTCCAATGCTTCTAGCCTTTTATAGTTACTTTTTACATTCTTTTTTGCTTTCAAAATCAATGTGGGACTAAATGATCCCTACTTTAACAAACTTTCACTATGTATGTCAAGATGAATATCACATTATCATTAATTAAACTTATTATTATCTTAAATTGATAAATGATTAAATTTAACTAAATGAACATGAAATATGGAAAAACATTATGGTTTTTACATAATAAAAGAAAATGCACTTATCATCCTACTTTCATTTTTTTATAAATGATATATATGTGTTAAATATTTAGAAAAATGTATAATTTATTATTATTATTATTATTATTATTATTATTATTATTATTATTATTATTAAATATGTTATTTATTAATAAATGTGTTATTTGTAATTAATATATATATATTAGTGAAATTATAATTAGTATTGTAATATAAGTTGAAAAAAATGTAAAATTTATTAATTGATTAGTTTGTATGATTATATAATCAAAAAATATTATTTTATTAATTAATATATTAATTACATTTTTATATTAAAAAAGTATATATTTTATAATATATTATATATATAATATATTAATTATAACTAATATATTATATTAGTTATAATTATAACTAACATATATACTTAAGTAAGTAACATATTTAATATATAATAATAAATTATATAATTTTTAAATTATTAAAACATATATAAATTATATTTTTTTTATAATCAAATATTTATTTATTATATAAATTATATTAGAATTTAGATATTATGTTATAAATTAGAATTTATTATCTTATAGTTAGAATTTAGAAATTATTATATTATAAATTATATTCATTATGTTATAGAATTTTATTATTATTATGTTAAAACTTAGAAATTATTAGGTTATATAACATAATACTAATTATCTCTAACAAATACTAATGACTAATGTTATTAAAAATTGTAGTCCCCTTTTTTTCTTAAATCCGCTCATTTTTAACTCGATAATAAACTTTAAAATACAAAATAATATTCTTAATTAAATTTGAAATTCATAGATAACAAATTGAACGGAAAAAGTCGGATTCTGTTCGAGCAATTCATTGAGTCCGATTAATTTCGTATGATTAGATCGAATTTTATGACAAGATTGTTTGACACTTTTCTCAGAGTTATATGATTTGTGTGAATATTATAGTAGGAAAAGCATTCAAGCTCATGTTTAATTGAAGTATTAGTGACACTTTCCAAATGCTATGCCACATTATAAATAAACAATTCAATAACAATCAACGCATATGTACTTGGTCTAAAGTCAATCACAAACATAAGTTAAAATTAACAATTCAATAACAATCAACGTATATGTACTTGGTCTAAAGTCAATCACAAACATAAGTTAAAATTAACAATTCAATAACAATCAACGTATATGTACTTGGCCATCTAATTTATAACATAATCATTTCTAATCTATAATACAATAATTTCTACCCACTAACAAAATAGTAATAAATTCTAATTCATAAGACAATCAATTCTAATATATAATACAATAATTTCTAACTTCTAACATGATAGTAATAAATTCTAATTTATAAGATAATCAATTCCAATATATAACATAATAATTTAAAGTAATATAATTTTTTCAAACTAGTATCATTTCTAATTTATAATAATATAATTTATACTAATTAAGTAATTATATTAATAAAGTAATTATACTAATATCATTTTTTAACTGTATTTGTTGTTAGTTCATTTTTTTCTATTATAATTAATTATATCTTATACTATTATAATTTATAATAATTAAACTAATTAATAATATAATTTTTTATATACTAATATAATTTATACTAATTATACTTTTTTACATTATAATTAATTATATTTTATACTATCATAATTTATAATAATTATATTAATA